GGGTTGGGGGGGGGGGTGGTGTTTGTGTGTTATGCCACATGTATTTTTGGGCTGTTTAGTAAGGCTTCCTGTGTGTACTCAGTCTGGTCATGTGAGATGAAAGGTCTAAATATCCAAAGGTCTGATAAATAGGATAACCAGATATGAACGAGCTGAAGGCTGAATCCAGTTGTTTCTGCTGCTAGTCTAGCAGGTAAGATATGACTTCATGGGAGGGCTTTAAAAATAGTGGTAGCAAAAACGAAGTTTAAGGAAAATTAACAAGTATCACATTATATGAAAAATATATAATGTGTTTTATAGTGAAACAGAATTTTATTGTCTCTCAACTTTTGTTTTGTGTGTAGCAGAGGGTCCTTCAGAAAGAGGCCACAAACTCCACTCTGTTTCTAAAGGGAATGGGAGATACCTGCTACATTTTCTTTCCTGTACAGATTGTTAAGCAGAAAGTGTATCCTCAGGAAATCTCTTAGAAAACAAATAGGTGATCTGCAGGGGAAAGTGGTCAGGCTGAGAAGCATCAGTGATGATAAGAAGATCAATAGTATGCTAAATGAGGAAATTGAAATCAGAAACAAGTCCACCATCCTAACTGCAAATGAAGATCCACCATCCACAGCAGAAAAGGAAATCTTATGTAGGCAGGAGGTGGTAAGACTCACCACCACTGCTCCTAGGAGTAAGCAATATATGATTGCTCTCTCCGTCAGTCTCAGGAGAGAATCTGTTCACGTGACAGTCTAGGGTATATGTTGCCTCTTTGGATTTCAAATCAGATATGATACTTGAAAATTTCTGAGGTTCACTGAAGCCACCCAGTATTGCCCACCCATGTGTATGCTGTGCTAGAAATGATCCTGAATGGATCAAAAGTGACTGCTGGCATTTAAGAGCAGGGTGAGTGGATCAGGTTTTCCAGTTAAGGTTCATATAGATACAGATATTCTGAACATTTTTTTTCACAAAAGAGATTTTGTGGAGATTGTCACAGAATGGACAATTTTCTGACCATAGGGTAGAACACTTTTAAAGAAAAATGTTAAAAGTGTGTTGTTACCATTGAACTTGCCAGTTTGCTAACCTAGTAAGAAGGGGGTTTTCTATAAAAGAAAAGGAAGATTAAAAAAATCCCTAAGTCCATATATAGCAGTCTTGGACCAGGATGAAAACTAGGTGGTACAGAGTTATTCTAGTCTATGCAGATGGTTCACTCAGTCTGATGGACCTTTTGCATGACCATGGTAAGGCGTAAGCAGGAGGAAATCTGAAGTCTTAATACATGATCAGAATTATGATTTAGTTGAAATAGAAGAGAGGTGATGTGACATGAGAGACGTTAATAGGGAGTTTTGTCTGGGGAAGGAGGAGTCCAAATATCTGAAGGTGTATTCTCATATTCTGAGGTGCAGAATGCAGAGGGGAGTTAAACCCACTCAGGTTTTCTCAGTGATGAGGGGGGAGAAACCCTAAGACCACTATGATAATTAGAGCTTGTGACAATCCACCAAATCAGGATGATCAGCTGGATAAAATTTTTTCGCTCATGATTTGTAGAATTATCCAGAGTACAGGATTTAGTGATAACAGAGGACTTTGGATTACTGTTGGGAAAAGATTATAGCAGGACACAGATTATTCAACAGGTGATGTTTTTGATGAAAATTGGGGGGGGGGAACCCAAACCAAACCCCAGCAACTAGAGATGAAAGTATTCTAGGTTTGATTTTTGGTTTTGAGAGTGAACTGAGACTGTTCAGGCAGAAAGTAAGATAGGTAAGAGTGATCAGGAAGTTGCAGCCTAGGAGGACTACTGGTAAAACAGATATGGTGGATTTTAGGGAAGTTGTCTTCAGTAAACTCAAACATGATATCTGGAAGATACAACTTTCCAGGAAACTTCTCTGAGAAATAAGAGAACCAAAGGGGGGCAAAGATTCTTTAAATACTTGTGTAGTAAGTACATACCTAATTTTCTGTTTTGCATGGAAAATAAGAAACATAGTAATATAGCAGCTTTTAAAATAAGGAATAGTTCTTTTACTTCAGGTGAAAGGACACAGAGAGGAGGAGAAAAGATCAGGTTACTCTGAGAAGCACAGCAAACCCAGGAAGATAAGGTCACAAAATAGAAAACAAGTTGCAAGAGTAGCAAGAAATAATTGTCTGTGTGCTCTAGCATTAAGAGGAAAATCAGGGAAATTGTCATTCAGTGGAGGGGACAAATGTGGTTACTTTGGACAAATAATACCTGGGAGGCAGATGTCATTAATGTGTTTTT